CCGGCAGCACACCTGCAATGGCGTTGGTATTGTGGGTGATCATGGGCGGCGGTAGTTACCACTTTCCATCAGGTGGGTCGTCTATATAGCAAAAACCATAATTAAAAATTATGTCTCCAAAAAACTCATATTTGATCACTTACCATCAGGTGAGCCGCATGCTCGTTTGCCCCCTGCGTTGTAAAAAAAAAAGAAATACAACCGAATTGAAAAGCTGCTTGTTTTTTCAAATCGCTCAATAACAATATACGTGCATCGAATCGGACGGTGTAAAATCGTTTCGTACAGGAAGCAACACATTGTTGTACATAATTAAATCTGTCATACGTTGTATAGCTCTGACACAGCGTTAAATTACATTCGGATCGTGTGTGCTGACCTTACTGTCCTGAATACCGTGTGCATTCAGCTTTATATGGATTTACGGTACAGCAGCCATTGTCTACAGTGCTTTAATCTCCTTTTACGATATTGTCCTTTATAATATGTACACATTACAGTTTTAGCATTTTTTTTGGGCGGAACTAATTAGTTTTGGAAATTTAAAATATACACATCCCAAAGGAAAGTGAAAAGAACAATTGTGTGAAAATATGATACGTCCACAGTCCATTGCTGAAATTAGGCCACTCCCATAAGAGGGGTCTTGTCAGTAGTTGCTACTCTTGGCAGGTAGGTCGTCAATCGCGGTTAGATTTTGATATTTTAAGAAGGACGCTGCTGCTTATCCTTCGACCATTAAGTTCCCTTAGTCGTCTCTTACGATACATACGGAAAAGAAGGGGTGGCCCATTTTATGTTGGGACCTAAAATATAACCCCCCATTTTGCTTCGCCGTACTCGAATGAATAGCTTTAAGAGACATTTGACGTTTTTATAAATAAGAGGGTAATTAGATATGGTTTCTTTGAATCCTGAGTGTCTTAAATAATATATAAACAAAACAGATAATATGGAGTTTCTACGCTTAATTAAACCATTTTGGTTTCGATCGGATTATCTGTATTTTAAGAGGGACGCTGCTGCCCATCCCTCTGCCATAAGCTCATTTAGACGTCTCATATGACACCCGCGGGGGTGGCCCATTCTATTCCGGGACCGACACGGTATTGTCCTTTATAATATGTATAAATTTGATAGGCATTTTTATAGAAGTAAACTAAGTGATAATTTTTCTAAAAGTACATAGAATAATAAGAATAAGTAACAGTCTTCCTTAATTTGTACACTGTAAAATATTATACTGTAATAATAGTTCATTAAATCACCAGAGGGAGACTTTGTACAAAAGTCGAATGCTTGGGTACCTCTATCCTATTCGTGTTTCTACCGTAAAGCAGTTGTGTCTGCATGGCTGTTTCGGTTTGAAGGGTGGGATATGGCGTGAATTTACCGGGTACAGAGGAATAACATCCGAGTCCTCAGGAATGGCAACGCATACGGGGTATCATGGGCGAAATAGTACTCTGTTATGTCCTCTGTTATGTCCATGGTAGCTTGCTAGCCATTCTGTGTATAAAAAACTGCTGTGTGTATAGGCGATGATGTTACCACTTTCATCATTGTTGTGGGGGTTGTTAGCTTGCTAGCCATTCTGTGTATAAAAAAAAACTGTGTTGGAGGTGTTTTATTAATTAATATTTCTTCAATTGTTATAAAATTAATATAAAATCAATACGTAAGTAACAAAGCTACAAAGAGTGCGGATGAATTGATAATCTCCTTTTTTCAAGTTGGTCAAATGAAAATTCCTCAATATAACACCGTTCTAATATCCAAGAGTTAATTCCACAGACCAATTTAATAGTGAATCAGATTTCAAAGCGGTGGGTACTTTAAAATGCCTGCTGGAACAAAATTAAATCCCCAATTTGCATGTTAAGAGTAGATTAATGTTTAAATCATGTTTAAATACTAAATAAAATAGTGGAAACAGAATTTTGGGGCTCATGTATCATTTGTATGTTTCAGGTATTATCCTTTTTAACCGACTTCAAAAAAGTATGAGATTCTCAATTAAGTGGCATTTTTTTAATTTGTTAAACAGTTATAAACTGTCAAAATAAAATGTAGTCTATCTCTATTTTATATAGTATGTGCATAGCAAATTTCATAGCGATTGGTTAAGTCGTTAAAGCTCTTTAAAGTAACAAACAAACTTACTTTCACATTTATAATATTAGTGAGGATTTGTTACATGTTTATTTGTTACTAGTATTCGCAGTACTGTCGTAATTTAAGATTGTGTTCTTAAAAAAAAATACTAAGTTAAATGAGGCAATGCCAGTTATATTGATTTAAAAACTAAACTTTCTGCGGGATCAATTTATAAGTATAATATATCCTTTCAGATAAAAAAAAGATTTTTCCAAATCGATTTATAACTGATGGAGTTATGAGGTAATAAATAAAAACAAAAACAAATATAATAGGATTGAGGAACCTCCTTCTTTTGAAGTCGGTTAAAAAACCGTCGAAACTCTGATTGTTGAAAACAATACATAGTTAAAAATAATACCTTATTTAAAATGTTATCAAAGATCATTTACTCAACACAGTGACAATACTGGCCATTTACTTACCCTGATATATATGGAGAACAGAACAAATCCGGTTTTATCTGGTACACACTGGATTTCGGCGGTCGGTACAGTCAGCCGAGCCAATCAGCGTGCTTACGGCTTAGAGGAGCTTTTCCTCATTTAAATTTCGCTTTAAAAATACTTAACGCCTTAACGAATCATTTAAGCTCCCCAGGGAGAAATAAAAAGCTTTTAATAAGAGGATTTTACGGAAATTTACTTAAATTTAAGCTTAAATTATCATAAAGAATATGTCTATAATACTTAAGATAGTAATGCGAGACGATACCATGAATATTAACGACAAGATTAAAAAAAAATTACAAAAATTTCAAGTCAATGAAATTATACATATCATCATATCATCATCATCATCATATCCACCGTTCACTGTCTACTGTTGAACATAGGCCTCCCCCATAAGGAAGGTTTTGCCAGTAGTTGCCATCCTAAATAGGAGGGTTGGTAACCGCAGTTTGGTTTTTTTCAATAAGTGTTTTTTAATAACAATTTTAAATTTACTTAAAGGCAGATCCGAAATATCCTTCAGTATCTTATTATAATATTTAATGCTAATTCCCATAAATGTGTTTTTTTTTAATGGATGATAATGGAATTGTAACCCTGCCTGCGCTATTAGTATGCACTGGCGGGGCACCAGTGAGGGATGATTGGTGAGGATGAAAAGGCAGGTCAGTTAGTCCATCGTGATGAATACACCTGGAATTCAGCACGATGGTTTCCGCAGGGGACCACGTGGAGGCCGACCTGACTGGTTATATTGTTAGCAATGGTAATCTACATTACTAGCAATCCCCCCCCCCATAAGTGTATTTATGAGAATGGACATTAAATATTATATTTTTGAATTTACTACCCTTCAATAAACTTTGATATGAGTGCTCTTAATAATTCCGTGCATAAAGTCAAATATATTCTAACTATATTTCGTAGTATGTTCACAGAAAAGTGAAACTAGTAAATTTATTTAAGTTGGCAACACATTTTAATTAGACCGTCTAAATTTTAACGAATAACATAGTTTCATTTTTAATATCCCAAAATTTTCACCCGGTTTTAATGAAGAATCCCCGGGGAGTTCTTAATTCTCTCATTAATCTTGCTTCCCAAATCAACCACGAACTAGATAGAACCGGATTTATGCAGTTTGTGGGACGCAAAGTATGCAAATTACATTGTCAGTAGATTCGATTAAATTTAAAATTTAAAATACAGATATATTTTCTCTATTATTACAACCTATTCTGAACATATTTGTAAATAATTGATGCCTTTAATTTATTTCTTTCCGTGGGTGGACACAGTAGGTAAAATCTTATATGAGAAATCAGTACAGGATACAATAGGGTTGATCTACCTAAAGAGGATGAAAGCCTTATTTATAGTCTATCAAATAAATAACTTATACGTAATAAATTTTAATGTATCTAATACAATATTTATACAAACACTCAGAAGACAGCCCTAGTCATATATTAACCATTTTAATAAAACAATACGTTTTAATCTATGATCGATCATAAGTTTTATGGTAAAGTTCATCAGTTTATATATATAGAGGGCGCCATATTCAATTTTACGTCACATATTCTATAACTAGAGAATGATCAAAATGCATCCAATGATACCACATTATGATTAGTAATTTAGAAGTTATGGGATAAAAGATGAACATATATACACACATACATAAATACCCATACACATATCACCATATCAGTCGTTATCTGCTCACTGCTGAACATAAGTCTCCTCCATAGACTTTTATAAGGAACAGGACTATTTTTTATGGCAGTTTACCACTGGGGTGGTTTTGCCAGCATTTACCACTTTTGGCAGGTGGGTTGGCAACTGCAGTTAGATATTGATATTTTAAAAAGGATGCTGCTGCTTATCCTTCGACCATTAAGTTATCTTAGTCGTCTCTTACGACACCCACGGAAAAGGAAGGGGTGGCCGATTTTATGTCGGGACCTAAAATATAAACCCCCTATTTGCTTCGCCGTACTCGAATGAATAGATTTAAGAGACATTTGACATTTTTATAAATAAGAGGGTAATTAGATATGGTTTCTTTGAATTCTGAGTGTCTTAAATAATATATAAACAAAACAGATAATATTTCTACGCTTAATTAAACCATTTTGGTCTCGATCGGATTATCTGGTAGCTGTTAATATTTAACTAGATGCCTTCTATTTTAGTTAATATAAGTGGTATTATTAAAAATAAAGTAAAACATCAAAAACAGTTCACTTCTTTTACAGTTACGATAACATAGACATACAAAGGCTTTAAACGTACAAAGACTCCTTTTTCGACATGTTTTAAAAAACATGGCAGAATGAAAATGGATGCAGGATATTAATTAAGTTATGAAATACATTTCGTACTTACCATTCGGAAGTATTGGACTTCGTTGACTCCCAGACCTGGAAATAAATATATAAAAGATTTATTGTATATCAGATGATATAGGTAGATTTTACTTGTAAAATTAATAATATAAGGAAATATGGAAGATTGTCTTTTTTTTTTTTTAATTTACGCCATATCTCACCCTTCAAACCGAAACACAGCCATGCAAACACAACTGCTTCACGGTTGAAACACGAATGGGACAGAGGTACCCAAGCAATCGACTTTTGTACAAAGTCTCCCTCTGGTAAACATGTCGAACGATATTGTATTGTCAACATCTGCATGTTTTGCATGTTTTATAAATAAATAATATTAAATCTAGAACGAGGTCTGATAAGTAAAGTGTAGTAGGGTTGTTTAAAAACGAAAAAAGAAACGACGAAGAAAAGTAATTAACACAAATATAACAAGTGGATTTAGTTTTACAAGAAAGAACTAATTTTAATTAGGACATAATTAGTTATTTTGGCTTAAAAACCATATCGTCATAGTCGTAGAATACTGACGGATCTGACAAAGATTACATATAAAGATCCGTCAGTATTCTACGACTATGACGATATTTTTTAATGGGTGATAATGGTATGGTAACGGTAACTCCGCCTGCGCTAATGGGATACGCTGGCGGAGCACCAGTAAAGGGTGATAGATGAGAATGAAAACAGGCCAGTCATAATAAATTATAGCCATGATAAATGCATCAGGAATTAACCATGATAGTTTCCAGGGAGAACCGGGAGGAGGTCGACCTGGTTGGGTATATAATAAAATATGGTTCTTAGGGAGGAAAGAGATTGTTAATAATGGAGTCGAATAGTCCCATTACTAGCAATATACCGTCAGGTCGACCTCCACATGGTTCCCCCTGGAAACCATCGTGGCTAATTCTAGTTGGATTCGTCAGGATGGGCTATCTGACCTGCTTTTTCATCTTCACCAGTCATCCTTCACTGGTGCCCCGCCAATGTATACTAATAGCATAGGCTATTATCAGCCATGAAAAAAAAAACAAACGTAACTATGTCAAATAAATATCATTTTTCCCTTTAACTTTATCTGATTCATTGTTTTTCTCGCATTCTCTATATAAATAAAATACATAGCGTATCATAAATGGAGGGATCAGTATGTTTGCGCCTACAAATCCTATTACTTTTTTAGTACAGTCGTATTATTTCAAATCGTATTCGATGCTGATATTTACCATATTTTAAACTTCATATTGAAAGCTCAATAGAAATTTTCCAAGTAAATTTTATCAAGGAAAATAATAATGGAATAGTTGGTTAGGTAATAATATTAATATAATAATATCTGATGACATTCGGCTTGGCATGGACAAGTCGCAATTGACGGTGTTGACATTACTGGATTTTAGTAATGCCTTCAAATATGGATTTTGACATTTTACTCGCCATTTTACGTTCTCTTAACATATCTCCAACGGCTATTGATTGGTTTCGTTCTTACCTGTCTGGGCGTCGGAAACTATCATGGTTATAACTCTTCTTGATGAATTTATCTGGCGTTCCTATAATCTCCTCTTCTTTTTTATTATCAATTCCATTACACATTTTCGATCTTCCTACCATCTCTATGCAGACGATCTCCAAATTTACTCTCAAGCCAGTTTTAGTAATATCACTGATGTTGCAATTTGTATCATTAATGGGGTTCCCGTATATCAGACCAAATTTTCGTAAATCCATCAAAAAAAAATTATGGTTCATTATATATCTAAATTAAATTGTTAATCTTAAGCTTTTGGAGTCGTAATTAAATATAGTACTATTGAAAAATCTCGCGAATACATTTTGATCTGACCTGGTCTTATCAAATATCTCAGTTAAGCCGTAAAATATTTGCTTCAATAGGTAGTCTCAATCGGCTGCGAAAACCATACCAAGACTGCATTGGCACACTGTTTACTAATTCTAGATTACGCTGATTCCTGTTATGTTAATCTTACAGAAGATCAATTAAATAAACTTGAGCGACTTCAGAACATATGTTTTTATATTTAATCTTCGCAAATATGACCACATTTCCAGTCATCTCACTGGTGGCCGCCAATTCGCCTTCGCAGAAACATGGCGGGGTCATCATTCTATCTCTTCTTTATCATCTTTTTCATCCTTCAAAGATTACCTCAAAACAAAGTTTCATGTCGAACTATGTCAAATAAATATTCATTTTTTTCTATTCCTATTCTTTCACTATCCAACTATCCGTCTCTGAATTCATTTTTTTAGATCTCGCATCTCTTGCCTCGTATATAAATAAAATCACATCTCTCTAATTTGCTTTCATAATGTGTGATTTATCTTGATCTATTTAGTATATTTATGTTTATGTATTATTATTTATATTATATATATGTATGTTTATGTATTATTATTTATATTATATATGTACACATGTATTATTATTTTTATTATATATGTATGTTTATTTAGGTTATGTAATCTTAAATTTTTTGCACTTTGTCTGATTCCTTTTATGCATTTACTGTGTCTGATTTGCGCCATCTACCTTTCTCTCTGTACTTATCCATTCTTTATGCCAGGTTGTCTGTAAGAGATTGCTTGTAGCGATAAGGCCGCCTTTTGTATATGCACGTTCTGTATAAATTTTCCTTGTAAATCTTTACTGTGGAAAATAAAGAGTTTATTATTATTATTATTATTATTATTAATAAGGTAGGTGTTTATACTTAGTGGATGAGGGTAGTTTAGGACCGTCTCTTATGGCAGTCTATAGGGGATGCTTATGTTCAGCAGTGGACATGGGGTTGATGGTGAAGTATACTTAAGTGTATAAACGAAGCAACTCCTGGCAGTCTTTATTTAGCAGTGATTCCAGATATAAATCGAATTCATTAACCGTAACCTAATACTAAGAATTGGGGGGAAAGGGATTGTTAGTAATGGAACTGAGAATCCCATTGTTAGCAATATATCCAACCAGGTCGACCTACTCGCGGTTCCCCCTGGAAACTATCATGGTTAATTCCTGATGAATTCATCATGATGGGCTAACTGGCCTGTTTTCATTCTCATCTATCACCCTTCGCTGGTGCTCCGCCAGCATATCCCGTTAGCGCAGGCGGGGTTACCATACCATTTTCACCCATAAAAAAAAACCCACCTGCGCTATCGGTATAAAATTCATCAAAAAAAAACCATAAAAAAAAAATACTACGAATTTATCCAAATTATCTTAACTTACTGAGATAATAAAATTGCAACTAGACAATGTATGTACATATTTAAAAAAAAATTTGAGGAAATATTTAAGAAAAAAAAAACAAAAACAAATAAAATGGGACTTCCTTGTTTCCTGTTCAAAGGAATCGTTTAGAAAAAGCAAAAGAAGTCTTTTGTAGGTTTTGTTTTGACCTTTTATCAAATTTAAGAACTTTTTTATGAGAAAAGTGACAGTTCATTAGCAAATGTTCTTATTTTTAATAAGACCAAATAAGTTTTTAATAAGTTGTCAAAACAACATTTGTTTGAAATTTTGTCTATCTTCATTGTGCGGTATCACGCAAAAACTACTGCGCCAAATTGGATGCAGTTCTCACAGTTGTAACTGTAAAGGTGTAACATAGAAACTGGTATATGTTTTATCTGAATGTTCCATCTAGAAGTATAATATATTTTATTGTTTTTCCTGCTTCCGAAATTTACGCAAAATTAAAAGCGGAATAAAAGCTAGTAGGACATACATTTCGTTAATCGAAAAATCAAAACCGGCATAAAATTTTGAGCTTCCTGTACTTAACAGTTATCTATCTATCTATCCTATTTAAGAGCTGCACTCTTGTCGGTGGAGTTCTTGCCACTCACTACGATTTTCAGCGAGTCTCTTCATCTCTTGATACGACACGACACTAACTCCTTCCTTGATCTGCCTGATGTAACTATACCTCGGTCCCCCTCTTCCCCTCCTTCCTTCTATCTTACCTTCTATTATAATGTTCATAAGTTCGTCGTGTCGTATCGAGTGTCCCAACATTTTTCCCCTTCTGTCCTCAATAGTTCTAATAATTTGTCTCTTTTCCTTAATTCCAAGCAGGACCTTCTCATAGCTAACTTGAAAACTAGTTAACAGTTAGACACACTGTATTAGTATAATTTTTTTTTTAATTTAAACATCAATTATTTTAGGATATCCGTAGGGAAATTGGCGAAACCAACAAAATTAAATTAACTAATCGAAAAATAAACAAGAATTAAATCTTTTTAATACCACAAAACCTTTCACGTATAGGTTTTATTTCAATTCAGATTCTCGTTATAATATTAAAAGGGCCCGTGTTTTCTTAGTGCAAACAAATTTTGACTTTACCTCTCTTGGTTTAACGTGAAAATTCACATAACGTGAAAATTTTATTCCGGCGAGCCGTTGGAAAATCTACCACAATATATCAGCATAGAGTTCAAAATTGTAGTGAGCAAGTTTTAGCTGAGGGAGATATGGAAATAGTGATCTGCATTTGGAAAGGGGGTTAAGGAAATTGAAACTTATGTATGTAGAATTTAGAGTGGAATTCCTACTTACGTTGGGCTAAAGCTTCCATGCGTATCTTTGGATAAGTGTCGTGTGTCCAGGACAAGTGAAGCATCTGCAAAGTAAAGAAAAATTTATTGCTTCTTATAGAAATAAGTTAGACCGATTCAGATAGGATATTTTATCTAGCTATACCAAACTGTTATAACTATGTATGAGTATATTTATTTATTTATTTTTTTATTTATCTGGCCGTATGGTCCCATCATATAATAGGTCTACCAGAGGGAGACTTTGTTCAAAAGTCGTTTGCTTGGGTACCTCTGTCCCATTCGTATTTCAACCGTGAAGCAGTTGTGTTTGCATGGCTGTGTTTCGATTTGAATGGTGGTATATGGCGTGAATTTACAGGGTACAGAGGAATAACACCTGAGTCCTCAGGAATAGTAACACATGGGGAGTATCATGGGCGAAACAGTATACTCTGTTATGTCCATGGTACTGCTCATGTCTATAGGCGACGGTTACCACTTTCCATCAGGTGGGTCGTCAGCTTGTTTGCCATTCTAAGTTGTATAAAAAAGGCTATCCCTTTCTTTCTCACTGGGGTGAGAAGAGCCGATTGAGGGAGGGCGAGGAATGGGCCCTCTTTCAACATCTCTAAAGCCTGACTGCGGTTGTCAATCCGCCTGCCAAGCGTGGCAACTACTGGCAGAACCCCTGAAGGGGGAGGCTTAAGTTCAGCAGTGGACAGTTAAAGGCCGATATGATGATGTTTATTTATCAACCGACTTTTAAAACAAGGACATTCTCAATTCGGTTGTATTTTGTTTTATGTTTATATGTCTAGTTAGCATATGTATTTCTTGCATACTTTTAGGCGTTTATATGCGTAGTATTGTGTAGGCATATATATATATATATATATATATATATATATATATATATATATATCAGATAATATTTATATTATTATAAACCGATTTGGAAATTGTTTATAATTTTTTATCTGAAAGATCGCTTTTAGCGATAAGGTCGCTCATTGTTTTCTCATTGTGATTATTTCTTGTAATTGTTTGTATCTATAATAAGTTTACTAATGTAATCTTTTGGAGGAAACAATAAAGAGTATCTATCTATCTATTTACTTTAGTTTTTAGATCAAAATAACTGACTTTGTTACAATTTAAGTAGTTTTTTTTGTAACCCAATGTTATTTATTTATTTATTTAACTCTTTATTGTACCATAAACAAAAATATATAATGACAAGTGAATAATTCAAATGAAATACAGTAACATAAATACAGATTGAAATGTACATATAAAGGTACAAAAGGCGGTTTTATCGCTAAGGCAGTCTCTTACAGACAACCTTTGATTATTTATTATTTATTTTTACACAATATTTTTTTTTTATACCACAAAATTGGCAAACGAGCATTCAGCCCGTCTGACGGTAAACTGTCACTGTAGTCTATGGACGGCTGCAACACTAGGGGTGTCACGTGCGTGTTGGCGACTCTGAAGAAACCTTAATATAACTTTTTTGAAGAACCCCATGCTGTAGTGAAACCGTCGTAATTTGACATGTAATTTATGTTACATTTTGGCGTAGAGAATATAAATTAAGCTGACATCATACGAAATAGAAAGCTCCATTTTATTCTCATAGTACTACCTAACGAAACTTTGTTAACAAGCAAAGTTGTGATCCAAATTACCCGGTTGACATTGGCGTTTTTGTTGGGAAAGTTTCACCATTAGCTTAGATTGTGTAAGTTACTTATTACTATAGTAGCAAAACTCGATTTAAAGTTTTATATACATGTCTGTTTTGTCTATCATCATGACAGGTCAAGGTCACTTTGGGGCAGGCAAGAAACTGACCATCGAAGACATAAAACGCATTTTTTCAACCTAATTCAAAAAGAAGAAGGTATATATACAATTCGGTTGTATTTTTTGTTTGTTACTTTACAACTTCGTCAGTTGTAAACCGATTTGGAAAATTCTTTTTTTTTGTCGGAAATTTTATTAAAATTGGTGCAGTAATGTAGTTTTCAATAATCAATGTTGCCACAATTGAAGTCGGTTTTGTTTTGTGGGACAAAATCTTTAGTTATTATTTTTAGGTTTTTTTTTTATGTAATTTAAACTTAATGATAAACTTTGTAAGGAGAGAAATACAACGTCTTCTTTTGATAAATTTGCATTCTTTTCTGTATTTATATAATTATTTTTTTGTTAATATATGTATATCATATATATGCGGTGTAGACTACAGCATGGGGTTCTTCAAATGGGGGGTAAAGAGGTTTGTTCAGGGTCGGCAACGCGCGCGTAATACCTCTGGTATTGCAGGTGTTCAGAGGCTAAGGTAACCACTTACCATCAGGTGGGCCGTATGCTTGTTTGCCACCTCAGTGGTATAAAAAAAAGTATATAGTTAACAATTTAATTTTTGAATTTGATAATAGGCACTTGTAATTATTTTTCTTAATGTTTTATTTTCTTAATTATACAATACTATTATACCTACTTGTACAACAATTAGTCCATTACCCTAAGGTTGTCATGAAAAGATTGCTCTCAGCAATAAGACCGCCTTACTGTACTTATACAATTGTATCGTTACACTTATTAATTGTCTTGTTTATTCCCTATATTGTATAATGCAAATAAAGTACTCTCATTCATTTCCTTATTATTATTATTAGGTATTATTGTTCTTTCGTTTTACTGCTCTGTAAATACAAAAAAATACAGTACATAACCGAAACGACGAGTGCCGATAATCCCTCCGTTCACCCTTCTCAGGGTTGTCAGTGTTTGTTTTAAAATATGCAGGCCCATACGGCAACCTGCCAATACTTAGCTCGCTATTTCAGTACAGTAATCCTTTGAGAATATAACGGGAACCATTATTTTGGATAGGCTATTGACGAGATTAATTCTTAGAGTCATTTAGTATTTATATATACACGAGTATTTTATCCAATATAATAACGCGTTCAGGGTGTTGATGGGGCTGCCACGATTCTGTAGCGCGTCAGGGATGTTCGCAGAGCATCGTGTAGATTGGTTTTATGCCACGATGCGGAAAAGGTGCGCATCCCTGGTGCGCAGAGTACGTGCCAGCGCCAACAGCATCCTGAATATGATAACAAGCAGGCTGCACTGTGTGTACGTTAATCACTGCTGCGCAGTTTCCAATGGAATTGTGCAGCGGTGATTATCTGTATATTATTTAATATATTATGTGTGTGTGTGTGTGTGTGTGTATGTGTGTGTGTCTGTGTGTACTCGTATGTGTGTGTGTGTCTGTGTGTATGTGTGTGTGTGTGTATGTGTGTGTGTGTGTGTGTGTGTGTGTGTGTGTGTGTGTGTGTGTGTGTGTGTGTGTGTGTGTGTGTGTGTGTGTGTGTGTGTGTGTGTGTGTGTGTGTGTGTGTGTGTGTGTGTGTGTGTGTGTGTGTGTGTGTGTGTGTGTGTGTGTGTGTGTGTGTGTGTGTGTGTGTGTGTGTGTGTATTGTGTATGTAAATTTACTAACATTACTTTTAAGAATATTGTTACTAATAAATATTTAATGGACCAAAAAAGTTAGAAATAAAAATATTATTATTATTTTAATGTCAGTTTTTGTTTACAACACAGGGGACAAACGAGCATGCGGCTCACCTGATGGTAAGTGACTACCGCGGCCCATAATCACCTACAACACCAGCGGCGTTGCAGGTGTGCTGCCGGCCTTTTAAAAAGGAATATACTCTTTTCTTGAAGGTTATATTGTCGTATCGGTTCGGAAATACTGCTGCTGGAAGTTGATTCCAAAGAATGGTTGTGCGTGGAAGAAAGTGCCTTGAAAAACGCACGGTGGAGGACCGCCACTCGTCCAGATGATTGAGATGAAACTTTAGTTTGTGGCGGGTTGTACGGTACAGATTAGTTGTTATGATATAATAGGTATATTTGCCTACCCTAATGAGAGACAGGTGTGATAGATATAACGTAGGAATGGCTATCATTCCATTATCATCCATTATAAAAAAACGAAGCATGTGCCAAGACAGCTAAAGTCTTCAATTAATACATACATTATAATAAAATCGTAACTGGTCAAAAGTAGGTACCATTTCGACCTTTATTGTGAGTTAAATGGATGACAGTAGGGTTTTTTTTTATGGGTGAAAATGGTATGGTAACCCCGCCTGTGCTAACGGGATACGCTGGCGGAGCACCAGTGAAGGGTGATAGATGAGAATGAGAACAGGCCAGTTAGCCCGTCATGATGAATTCATCAGAAATTAACTATGATAGCTTCCAGGGAGAATAGAATAGAATAGAATAGAAATCATTTATTCAAATAAACTTACATTGAAGCACTTTTGAAAAGTCATTACATTTTTTTTAATTTACCGCTCGTTCGGAAAGCTGTCTCATCACAAGAAGAACGAGCAAGAAACTTGCGTGATGCTCTTTTAAATAATTTTATTATTATTTTACATTTTTAAGTTTAATTGTGTGAATACAAACCACCAATTAGCACTAATTCAATTAAATACTCAAAAAGAAAAAAAAATTGAATACATAACCAACTGGTTAAACAATTAATAAGAGGAAATCAGTCATAGTGATTAGAGCAGACCAGTCCCTACAAGCAGCACCCGTTCACGAGTATGACGGATGAGCCAGCCATCACTGCGCTCGACCATATTTTAGGGAGCCCAATGACCCGGCCCACCACGCCGCCACAAGTCTGGACATTTTAGTGAGCATGACTACTCAAAACACTAGACCACGTCAAAGCTACTCACAATTGCCATCTGATAGTTATAGTATTCACATTTTACATAAGAATGCATGCGGCAATTAATACAAAAAACCGCTACGCTTTCATATTTCTAAAATTAATCAATTAAATCAAGAAAGCAATGAGAAAAAAAAATTATAACGTTGTATGCTAATAAACTAATTATTTACTTGATATGTTGTCATCTATGAATTCGTCTATCCTGTAATAGGCTTTCTTACATAAAAATTGTTTAATATAAGATTTGAATTGCCTCTCTGTCAGATTTAATGCAGATTCCGGCAGTTTATTATAAAATCTTAT